GGGAACGTGGGGACCTGCAGGGTGCAGGGAAGGCGGGGGGTGAAGGGCTGAGCAGTGCAGAGGGTGGCATAGAGAGGTCCAGAGAGTGACATGAAGGTGACAGGGGGTGACATGGAGGTGGGAGAGGAGTAACATGGGAATGACACAGAGATGGCATGGGGTGACCGAGGGGACACAAGGGTGACATGGGAATGACAGGAATGGCATGGGGGTGATACAGGATGACAGAAGGGAGTGTGGGGGGACAGAGCAGTGTCAAGGAGGGGGCCCTGGGGGTGCACAGAGGAGGCGCAGGGGAAATGGTGGCCTAGGGTCCCCACAGGGTCAGAGCACGTCAGGCTCCCTCTGTTCCTGCCTGCTCAGGGTGGAGGTGCCCAGCGAAGACCTTTCGGAGTCCCCCCAGCACCACTTCCACATCAGAGCCCAAATCCCTGATTTCTAGGGCTCTTCGGAGGTGGCTGAGGGTTCCTGGGGCAGCAGGAACCCAAGAGTTAGGAGCAAAGGTCCTTTTGAAGTCCTAAGTGTGACCAAACAAGCCACCACCAGGGCTTTAATCTGAAAAAAGGAACACGCTTATTGGTGTGTTTCAATGTAGGAATGAGCACAGGGCACCCCTCCTGTGCCACAGCAAGGTACAGGCACCCAAGCAGGATGAAGGTGGCCAGGGCTTCACCAAGAAGCCAGCATTGAGCTGCTCTGAATCTGGAGCAACAACTTTCCCTTCTTGGCAGGGCCACCACGAAGGAGCTCCCCAGCTCATCCCGCATCTCCGCACCCAGGATGGGGCCAGGGAGGGGGAAGGACACCAGGAGAAGCTGGTGACTCCAACCCTCCCGAGCAGGGCGCTAAGAGGAGAATTGCCACGTTGGCTCTTGCCTGTGCCGGGCTGTGGTTAGAGGAGAGTGGCACCCAGAGGGGAGGCGAGCAGATGCCCACAGGTAGCTCCCACACCAACCAAGGCATTTTCTCTCCTGGGTTCTCCAGGCTTCAGGGGCACTATCCCATGGTCAAGCAAGCAGCAGTGCTCCAGGGCTCTCCCAAGCACCCTCTAGCACCCACTTTCCCTGGCTCACCTCTCCAGCACCCCCAGGTAAGCTGAAAAGCTGTAGCTCAGCCCTGTATAGGTTGGTCCAAGTCAGCAGAGCATCAGCAAATGCCAGCGCTGCTGCCCCCAGCAGCGCTGGAAGAAAGTCCTAGGTGCCTGTTCCACCTTCCCTTTCCCCTGGCTTAAGCACAGGGCAAAATCCCACACTGGACCCCGCTCCAAAGTCAGCACAGCCCTGCAGAGCCCAGCTCCAGCCTGCAGCTCCATTTACACTGAAGAAGCACCTGCCCTGGATCCTTTGTACCTGGTGAAATCCGAGTGCTGCCCAATGCTGTGTCAGCACCACATGGCAGGAAGGTGCATGGCCCCGAGCTGGGGGGCCTCCACATTAACTCCTTGCACAAGCACAGGCTTTTCACAGGCAATCCTTTCTGTTACACATTCAGGAATTGCCTTATCCCACTTTTAATTTCTTGGATCCCAAACCATAAAAACAGAGATTACTTTGCAATTCAGGAGCTCCGCTGCTATAATATTAACCATGAGATAGCAGCCCTGGCTCCTCCAGTCAGGCTTATGTACCCCCTTGGAGGAAGGACCAGCCTCCACTGTGCAACTCTTTCTAGGGAACTTACCACCTGCTAAGAACAAATTCACCCCAGAGCTTCTTCTCCCAAGAACAAAACTGATATAAACCTGGTATTAGCTCAACTGTCACACGCTCCCCAAGGAGGCATCCCTGAAGCACCCAGGGTCTACCACAAGTGGAAGCTGACAAGACAAAAGGAATGAAAGCCTGTACAGCAGGGGACAAACTGCTACCCCACATACCATGGTGACACTAACAGGCACCCAACACTGCTCAGGATGGAGCTAAGCCCTTGCTGAGGGCAAGTCCCCATGCTTGAAGCTTTGCCCTCCACACTGCAGCAGTAGCACTTGAACAGCCACATCCAAGAGCTTGTTCTACACGGCTGCACAAAGCTGGCAGCTGAGCTGCAGGGGAGGGAGAGCAGAGCTTGGTGGAAGCCTCAATCTGCAGCCTGACTCCAGCCAGGGGCTGGACCACAGAGCCCCAGGGCAGCCCTTCAGCCTCCCTCTGCATTCACAACACTGATGCTGCAGGGAGGGGGCTGACAAGACTTCTCGCAGGAAGAAGGAGTAAACTTAATGGAAACCTGAAATACTGGTCCCTTGGTCATAATGGGCAGTCAGATCAATGGACTTTAATTAGCAGAGAACATCTGGGAGACTGAGGTGGGAGGAAAATTAGTTCCCCTTCCAATAGCTGCCTCCAGCATGTCCCTGTTTCCAGCAGGAGCAATGTTTACTCAGCAGATCCTTTGTAGCAGATCCCAGCTAGAAGCAGGAAGTACCACATGGATTGCGTGAGAGATCCAGCTTCTCCTGGCTTTTCTTCCTCATGCTAAAAGGATTTCCTTTTGGGAGAGAAGTTTTCACCTCCAGCAGAAGGCTGAGACAGCTCTTGAATAGCTTTTTGAAAGCTATATTTCAGATACTCCAAGCCTAGAAGTTTCATGACAAGCATGAACAGTTATGAATTGGATAGTAACAACCTCTTCTTTAGCAGCTTAATTTCTCTAACTGCCCAATTCAGATTATCTGCCCTTACTCTTAGTCCAGAGGACATACAGGGAAAAAGAAAAATTATACTATTTGAAAAAAATAAATAAATAAAAGACAAGAATTACAAACCCCAAACTTTTATTTAGTGATAAATTTCAAAAGTAAAAAGAGACTTAACAACTATGCTTCTCCTGGTCTGGAGATCCAAGCTCCTACCAGCCACCTCCACCTATTGCTCAGTGCTCTGTAGTGCTTCAGCTTCAGAAGTTGAAGTCTCGCTTTTCCGAGAAGTCCAGTTGTCCATCTTCATCACTCCCAGGCTGGAAGTCCGTACTCTCCTAGAAGGAGATTAGGTGACCCTCAGTTGAAGGTTCTGCAACTTTATAAGCCTCCCTGCCCAGCAGCAGCTTACAGTGTTATTCTTGTTTAAACAAGAAACTCGTTAGAGTGGGAAGCTGAGCTGTTCTGCTGCTCTAACAGGGCCCTTGGGGACCAGGCCAAGCCCTCCTGCTTTTTCCAGCACATGCTCTCCCTGCAGCTCAGAGGGAAGCAGGGCAAGGCCAGAGGCTCAGAGGCCAGAAGCAGGGAAGGTCAGCTGGACAGCAGAACCTGCTCAATTTGAGTAGCCAGGCTGTAACAGCAACAAGCAAAGACTGCTTTGAAGACAAGCAGTTTCAGAGCTGTAGCCATGTCCTTGTGCTAGACAGCTCTCCCCACAGCCTCCCTGCAGGGCGGCCACAGGGCCTGGTTCCAGCCAAAGAACCAACACTGACACTTGCTCCCTGCTCCTGCACTTCTAGTCTGGGTCCAAGATCAGAGCCATTAAAATTCCCTGTTGTTTCCCCCACCTGGGAGGCCAGGTCCGAGCATGGCATCGACATGAGTTAGAGGACTTGTTTCCAAAAGGCAGCTGATGCCCTATATTCTTTTTTTCCAGTTCATTAACATGGAAAGGTCAAGTTACCCCAAAGCAACCTGAGCACAGTTATCAGCTGAGCAGGAGGCTTCCATCCACAGTGGCAAGCCAGCTCAGCTCCAAAGGAGGAAACTTCTCTGTATTTGGTATTCATAGCAGCAGCTGCAGCAACTCCAGCTGATGCCACTTTAAATTCCACAGCAAGATGCTATCAATACATCCATTTCTGTTGTGCAACTAGTCAGCTGACTAGTCAAATGAGAGCTTTTACAGACCATCATCATCTGGAATGAGCTGCAAGAAACCTACTCTTGATATGGAAGTCTATTACCAAGAACCTATTTCAGCATCTCTGCTACATTCCAGTGTGCAATAACTCATATTTGAAGATAAACAGGGAAAGTCACATACCTCACCAGCAAAGTACTTCTCTATGATACTCAGAGCAGCTCGGTAGACCATGTTGTTGTCATGGGTTTGCAAGGCTTCAATTTTCTCCAGACCATCAAGCTCTTCCACTAGCAGACACAGCCTTTCAGTCTCTCCCAGCTTCTCAGCTGCCTGTGACATTAGGCAATCAAGGGGCAAAGAAAACCAAGTTCATAACTTACCTAAGATTATTTACTGTAAACCCCAAAATAACAGAGGCAAGTGACTATAGTCCCTGCTTTTTTTCCTTATATTTTTGGGGTTATAGGAGACATCCTAAGAAGCTACTGTGCAGATGACATATTGTCTCTGTGGGGAGAACCGCCTTGTGGCTTGACTGCTACCCAAACAAGCTAGTTAAAGTCTGTTACATCTACACACTGAGAAGCAGCAGCAGGTGACCTGCCACCAAGTATGTTGTTTGCAAGAGCCATTTCACAGGTGCCACAGCACCAGAGAAAACAAGCTCCCAGGTGAGGAGACTTCAGTGACAGGGAGCTCCACATCTGTGTAGATATCCTAGATCACTTGATTTCTCTACAGTGGGATTTCTGCTAGACCTTCACTTCTGTACAGCTTAGAATTAGCATATATCATGTTTTGCTCTCTAGAGATAGACTGAAGCTGGTAGGTTAATAAGTGAAACACATTAGGCTCCCAGGAGGAAACAAGAACAGGTTAGACAGTAGCAAGTCCAACTGTTACTCTTACAAGATCAGTAGTGTTCTAGCCACACAGCACAAGCTGAACACTCACACAGTGCTCCTTTGAGGATAGGATGCAAGACACAGTATAAGAACAGGAAGCAAGATCTTACCAGGAAGAGATTTGCAATCGTATCCAGGATGACCAGGATAGTCTTGCTGTCTTTGGCAGAGAGTAGGTTAAGCAGAGGTTTGAGCACCCCAGACTGGACAAGTTCCACCACCTGCTCCACAGTACCTCCCGTTGTGAAGTTGGCCACAGCCCACACAGCCTCCTTCTGAGCTTTGAAGTCTCCCTGAAAGAGCAGCAGGGAGGGGGATGCTAAAGCTTGAGAGCTCCAGGAGGAGTATGAGATGTCAGATGAGCACTAGCCATTTCTCTTTCTGTTCACTTTGGACTGGTCCATCCAAGTGCTTTGAGGGCTGGGGAGGCACCCGACAATTAAGAGCAGCTCAGAGCCATGGTTTCTGGCTATGAATTCTAAATATTCAGGGTATTCCAAGCTTTTTGACAACTTGGAAGCAGACATCACACTCCCAAAACCACCTCAGAGTGCACTGTGCTTCCCCTCAAGTGAAGCATTGTGAACTGAATCTCAACATTGCTTCTGCAACAGCTGCATGCACAGCCCTGCTCCCCTGCCCCTTACCTTCTCCAGCAGCTCCACAAGAGGTGGCAACAATCCACAGGTGATGAGCTGCTGGATCTGCCGGCAGGGCCCTGCCGCGATGTTACTGAGAGCCCACGCCGCTTCCTTCTGTATCGTGGCCTTCGTGTGCCGCAAGAGCCGGGGCAGGGCAGCCAGGACACCGGCGTTGATAGCTGCCTGGGTCTGCTCATCCGTCCCGGTGACTACATTCCCAATGGCACGGAGGGCTGGAGTCTAGACAGAGATTAGAGCAGATGAGAATCTTTAGCTCAAGGGATACCTGCCAGAAAGTCTAACAAGATCCCCAAGTGCCTGATCCTTCAAATAAGGAGAGCAGAGTGGATGATTACCACTGCATGTACTGACCTACTGTCCTCCTCTTTTGCTCTAAGCAGCTTTGCATTCTCTATCCAGTCTGCTAGCCACAGCAAGCTAGAACAGAATTAACTGGACCAATAACTGAACTAATACTGCAGTTCAAGACAGCAGCATATTAGCTACAGACAGTAAAGAGACATTTCCTTCCTCAGATACACTTGTGCCCTAGAAAATAGAGCACTCTCATGTTAAGGGACCAGATACTGAAGGCTGCCAGCTCCATGTCCTACCAAAACAATCAACTCCGTGTCAGCCATAAGTTCCACCAGCCTTGGGAGAATCCCTGTATCAACCACAAGTTGGATGCGGTCATTGGATCCATCAGTCAGATAGGACAGGGCCCAGCAGGAGTCCGAAATTATTTCCTTGTCTTCGTGCTGTATGAGGCAGATGAGGACTGGCAGCATCTTCTTCACTGCATGCAGGGGAGGGTAGGGATTCTTGTTCCTACAGAGGTTTGACAGTGTCCATGTGATGTTCCTCAGGAACCCAATCTGAAATACAAGGGAGTCTCATAAGATCTTCCCTAGCTCAAACTCACTCATCTAATGAGTCCTGCAGAGGTAGCATCTTGCTTCTGCTCCCTACAACTTAGACATTATCAAGTAGCCAGTATTACAGAAGCCTTCCCCCAAGATATAAGTAGAGAAGGCTGACAGAGGACTTTTTGGAAAAGAGATGAAATAGGTAAGTAACTAAGACAATTCCCTACCTGCCCCCAAAAAACAAATTCAAAAAAACTTCAGGACCAGTGACACAACAAACTGCTATGGACAAAGGTACCAAGCAGCTGGGTCTTTGGGACAAATTAAGACGACTCCTTGTGCAAGATTAATTCTTAATTTTTAGTTTTGGCATTATTAGATAATCAAATCTCAAATGCACCCTCTTCTAGAATGGTTAAGAGCATCTTTTAGGCAGTTTATCCTAACAAGAAGGAGGCACAGATGCTGCAGGAGAACAGTGGCAGCAAGGCTCAAAAGCATCACAGCTACCAGCCTGCATGCACAAGTTGATGTTTTTGTCCTGTTTCACAGGGCTCCCTAGGAGACAAGGGTGAGTCAGGCTAGAAACAGCAGCCAGAAGTTTTAACATCTTCCAACATAAACTCTCAGAAAGCCTAGAGGGCGTTTACCTAACACCACCCTAAAAGGCCCTAGTTCTGCTTGGAAAAAGCCTAGAGCTCCTACCACACCCATGATGGGACACCTGCGAGCATCAGCACCACTGGCAGCATCCCACAGATTATCCCACCCATCTTCTGCTTCCCTGAAGATGTCCCACTCCCTCCAGAGAGGGAGTAAGCTGTGTGAGCCAACACCATTGCAGAAAGGTCAGAGGACAAAACCCAAGCTGTTCATAAGCTACCCCAAGAGCAGCAGCAGGAGGCTTGGAGGACAAGTTCAGCCCTTCCAGATCTGCTGCACCAGTTGTGTTGGGCCCCTGTATGCCAGAAGTACCCTGAATGGGAAAGCTAAGGCTAGAAGTCATCACACTGACTGGACAGGCAGCTTGCCTGCCTGGCACCCTACACTTAACATTTACTTCAAAGAGGAAGGATCCTTAACAGCCATTTAGGACAAAGTCTTATTCCACTACACAAACAGCTTGCTCCTCGTAACAGTGAGAGGACAGGTCATCACCACTCACCCATCACCCAAAGTGATTAACAAGTTTTAAGTTAAGAAAATAGAGAGTATTTACTGGAGTTACAGGTGACACCAGAGCCAGCAAGGGAGGAATCACATTGCAATTGATAAGAGCATCTCTGTACAGAGGACCATCACCTGTATAGATGAAAAAGGTCATTTATTGCATCTACCCAAATCACAGTCAGTATCAAATTGAAGATATACCTGAAGCCATTGTGGGGACCAAGGCTCACTTATTGGCCATACAATTTAAAATATTCTGAAGGGGGGGGGGGGGGGGGGGAAAACACAACCGGGAGAGGATTTTATGGTGTGCTAGTGTATCAGAATAACCCAGCAGACAGAATGATCCATCCTATTTTTCCCTGCAGAGCATGCAAGGCCACTGAACAGCTAGGGACAGTGGCTCAGCTGTCTTGCTCAGGAGCAAGATTCCCTAAGAGGCTCTTGCAGAGCTAGCAGTGTCTCCAAGGTTGCTGGGCCACATGAATGGCCTGAAAGTCTTCAGGAGCAGAAGCAGCAGCTTGGAGACAAGGCTCATGGTTCTCACCTCATGAGGAAGAGCAAGATTTAGTGCCCTCTGCAACTGGCTGGGCAATAGCCCTTCCCAGGCCCACAGACCTACCTGCTATATTGCCCAGTGCCCACACAGACTGCTCGCTGATATGCATGTGCGGGGAGGACAGGAGGTACACGAAGGCCGGGATGGCACCTCCTTCCACCACGGCTCTGGTGTGCTCCGAGGTGCCGGACGCTATGTTAGTCAGGGCCCAGGCTGCTTCAAACTGCAGAGCAGCGTTGTCTGCCCGGGTCAGGAACTCAACCAGCCTGGGGATAATCCCCAGTTCAATGATGTGATTGAGAGGTGGGTCCCTCTGCCTGGACAGCATTCTCCTGCAACAGACACAGCCCATTTAGTGGCCTACAGTAGACCATGATCCTGCTGTTAGGTAGGATGTTCTAGCTTGCAAGGGAAGCGGCACTGAGCAGAGATGCTAGTTCAGCATCTTATAGCAGGAAATGCTGTCAGGTGTTACCATAGATTCTTCTTCAGAAACCTCTAAGAGACTGAAGAAACAGCAGACTGTAAGAGTGTACTACTTAACATGTCCTTCTGGAACCAAGAAAGCAGGACTGCATATACCTTGTCTTGCAGGGGTTATTTTCATAAGACTGCAAGTAATCAAGTAACATGCAGCCTGTAGGCTGTAGCAGGGAACAAGCCTGTTTGTGTTCCCCAGATCAGGGGTTTTGCCCAGACCAGAGATCCCCTTTAAAAAGGGTTTCACACACTGCTTTTCCTGCTGCAACTTAAGATCCACAATCCTCAACTCCCTGCTGCTGCTCTTTGCTACTTCCTGCCTCACACAGGCATAGAAGCCCTTGCAGCTGCCAGCTAGATGGGATCAGGGCATTGGCATAGTCAAAGAAAGCCAAGAGAAATATTTTCAGCCAGATCTGCTCCCCAGCCTTTGTTCTGCAGCCGGAAATGCTTGTGCTGGCAGAGGGTAGTGTGGAGGTGTAAATCAGTGGCTTAGATCTGCTTTAGTGCCAGCACTGAAGATCCTGCGATGGTGCAAGCCTGGTGTGCTGTGAGGACACCCCAGGCATATGCAAACTTTGCCCAGGCAGAAAGCCAGCACTGTTCTGTATGGCAGGTTAGCAAGCTAGTCATGACTTGTCCCTTTTTAGGAAGGGTTAATGTCAGCCAACCCTCAGGAACACCCTCTGCTGCAGGGACTTCTGACCTGTTCTCTAGGGCAAGGGGCTCCAGCCGCCCAGAACTGATGTCTCCACAGCCATCAGGTGCAGCACTGGTGCCCCAGCACACACAGACTGGAGCTATTGTAGCTCTTCCTTGGGTGTCTCTTGCTGCATTTGCTCAGTGTCAGGAAGGCAGCAGCAGCCTCACCTGGTCCCTCTGGAGGGAGATCCGTTCTGCAAGGTGGGCAGAGTTCCTCAGTCCCTGCTCCCACCCAGACAAGAGGCATCTGCTAAAGGGGTAACCTGTGTTCCCAGGCTCCATCCCTGTGTAGTTTGCCCCTCTGGATGGCAATTCAGAGAGAACAGAGCACCTCCTGCCTACCAGGCAGCTCTGTATCAGCCTCATCTCCCCCAGCACATAGCAGGGAGCAGCCGGGCCACATACCTGGTTGCCTGCGTCGCCTGCAGCTGTAGCTCAGTGTTGCTCCCATTCACAGCTTCGACTATTTCCTCCAAGGACATCTGAATAATCTGTGTCATGGAGAATGATTCAGAGTCAGAAGGCAAGCCAAGACTCCCTCCAGTTTAATCTCTGCACTCAGTCAGCTGTCTAGACCCTAGTCAGCCACCGCTTTCTATCTAAGCAATGTCTATTCTTTATGCAACACAGTTTCGAGATGAGGCAGAGGAACAGAACCCACAAAAACCTTCGAGGCAACTAATCCTTATAATCAAGCATGGAAAGAAAGTCACCACCACACTAATAGGCCAACTAGCTTGCTAATTACTCCTCTCTGCACATGGAGCCAGACCAGAGGCTTGCCAGCTCCTGAGTGGCTGAAAGTCCAGTTCTACCTGTCATCAAGGAAGCCACATGACATGTTTCCATGCAGAATAACCCAGAAAGGATAGGCAGTCTGAAATGCAGCATCCCAAACACTGGACATATTGATCAAGAATTTCACTATTAATCAAGTTCTGCCCAAAAGACTTGGGTGACTGGCCTAAATGTACAGCTTCTCAATTAACATTTATTCACCAAGCTGTGCATTGTAACAGCCCTGTCAAAGTGCAGAAAACCTAGCAATTACCTCCTTCTTCTCTTGACACGCAGAACTTTCCTCTAGTGGAGTGATGGAAATACTTCTGCGCTTGAGGATTTGCTCATCCTTCTTGGCCTTCCGAAGCTCAATGTTCACCTCCACTCTCTGCCTCCTCATTGCCTAGGAGGAGGGACACACCACCATCTCAGCATCTGCACCACCCAGCCCATCAGCTCCTCACTCTGCTCCAACACTCAGCCCAGATTCCCTCTGTGAGGGATGTAGGACCAACATCTGCTCTCAGCTGGTTCTATGGCCTGGAGGGTTATGTAGGAGATGGGGGCAGTTTCACTTAACTACCTCCCATCCTGGGGATGGAATGAACCTGCAGACATTTTTGTTTCAGAGGTCAAACTGCTGAATCTGAAAGGCAAAGACTCTCCCTCCATTCTTGCTTAGAAAGCAAGCAGGCAGATCCTGCAGGCTGATAGGCTCCTGGCCTCCTTCCTGCGGTATTGATCGCCATTCAGTGCCCTTGCAGGTCATGGCAGGGCCTTCTCCTCCTGTTCCTCAGGATTCAGGGGCTCAGCTCCCAGCTGCACCTCTACCCTCCTAGAGCCCAGGCTCCCTCCACAGCACATGTGGAAGCTCAACATCCCTGAACATCCCTGTGCAAGCAAACCCTCCAGCCAAAGGGTCTGTCCCCTCTCCACTTTTGCAGCCTGGACAGCTGGGTTGGGAAGAGGGCTGTGACACTACTCAGAAACCATAGCAAGAAACCCAGGAAGGAGGAGCCCGTGGTCAGCTGTGTCCTCACACAAGGGTCTGCACAGGAGCCTGTACTTACAGCCACATCCTTGCCTCTGTTCTTGAACTTCCTCATGTGCTTGTCTTGCTCGCTCCCAACTGGCATCTTGACACCAGATATGATCCAGTTACCAGCCAAAAGCCTCTGCCTGCTTTGGGGGTTGAGGACAACAGTGTTGGGTCACGGCCACACCAGCAGCATCCACCTTGGTCTACAGGACCTGCAGGCCAGGGTCACCACTGAGCCCCTTTCCTACTGCTACAGAGCCAGGGAAAGGGCTGCAGGCCCTGGGCAGAGCTTCACACACTGCAGCTGACACCAAAATCAAGCCCAAAAGGCAAGCACAAACTACCACTTAACAATACCAGGCCATGAAAGCCACGACTATCACTATACACACACCAAACAGGCTCATGAGAGGAGCAGGGCATAGATACTACCAAGTACCTGCTCAAATAGGCTGTCCTTAAACATGCCCAGCATCTGATCACAGGCATGATCACTGCAAACATCTGCATTTCCAAGGAGCCTCTAAGAGCTCCCCTTTCTTCACCTTTCTGAAGGTGGGCCTGGCCTGCACCCTCCACCATTCCCTAGCACAGATGGGCAGGGAGCCCCAGCAGGGACACCAGGAACATTAGCTTTATCCCCCCAACACAGCAGTCAGGCACCATGGCCACTTCACAGGCTCAGAGCCAGGACAAGCCACCCCTTGACTCAAGCCAAGTTCCTTTCATCAAGGCACAAAGCCCTCAAGTATTCCCTCCTCTTCAAGGGCTTCTCCAACAGGAGACATGACAACACATCACCATAACCTCCCCTAAAATACCTCTTTTCAGGTACCTTCTTCCAAAGTACCAAGCACAGAGCCCAAACACCAGCTACCTGCAATGACCTGCTCCACAACCCACCCCTCACAGCAACAGACAACAACCCCAACACACCAGGAGCACCAAGGAAAGAAGAACTCACCCCCAACCTCCTCTCTACTGCCCCCAGCTCCATCCAGCCCTTTTATTTCCCACCAGCTCTCTGCCCCATTGGCTGCTCCCAGGCCAGGATCTTTTCCCAGGCCATTTGATTTTCATGGAAGCACCTGGGTGCTCCTTAACGAGGGGCAGCGGAGCCCTGCTCTCACCTGCCCCGTCCCTCCTCCTGCACTTCGACAACTTGGCCCCTTTTTGCAGCTGATCCTCTCATCAGCAGGAGCCATGTTTGCAAAGTGGCTACGGAAAACAGCTCTTAAAATATTTAATTAAAGGCTATTTTGCGTTCTTTATCATTTTTTTACTACAAGGGGAGGTGCAGGAAGGGCAGTAATGCAGGGGGGAGCAGCGGAGCCCTGCTCTCACCTGCCCTGTGCTCCTTTTTGCAGCTGATCCTCTCAACAGCAGGAGTGATGTTTGCAGAGTGGCTACAGAAAACAGCTCTTAAATTATTTCATTAAAAGCTATTTTGTGTTATTTATCATTTTTTTTACCACAAGGGGAAGTGCAGGAAGGGCAGTAATGCAGGGGGGATCAGAGCTTGCTGGGGGACAGTGCAATAAGGTTGTTCTGGGAATCCCATGGGAGTGCTGGGGTGGGCAGGCAGGAGCGGACCCCAAGGTTTGCACCCTCTGCCCTTACCCGGGAGCACAATTTGGGCCTTTACAGCCTGCTAACGGTGAGAACTATTTTCAAACTAATCATATGAGTTATAGGGAACAGCTATTTCACTCTTCTGCCATTTCCAGCATGGAAATACTTGTGAAAATACACTATATGGTACCCATGCTGCTTTAAATCATCGTTTCAAAGCCCAGAAGGGTCAGGCCAATTCTCCCTTTCCAGGCAATTGAAACAAGTTGTAGAAAGCTTTGTGGGGAAGGTTATTTTGAAGGGGCAGATGAGGGAAGAGCTTCAGATGTATCTGCTGTTTGTGGACATAAAGGAGCGAGCTGGGCTATTCCTGAGCACTGTGCATTTAAGTCTCAGGTGCCGCTGGTTGCTTTCTCATGTTTCTTGGCTGCCTGAAGCAGAATTACATTTCAACTGCATTTTAATTCAACCGAATCTGGTGCAAAAGTTATTGTGCACCCTCTAATGTTGTTTCCTGAGTGGTTTGTTTCAGTTAATTCCTAATCAGCCAAAGCTAAATCAAAACAGGCCTGGTTCAAGCCCAAGTAGATGGGTCCCTGCAACCTTTCCAAGCAGTTTAATTAAATTGGCTTAAAATCATCCTGCAGGCTAAGCGAGGGCAGCCGCTCGCGCGGCGGCTCTTTCGCCACGAGAGCTCCCTCGCTCGAGGTGCCGCCGGGTCCGGGCGCGTTTCAGGGCTGCGGGAAGTTTGCTGTTCTCCTGGGCGGCTCTTCCTGCCCTTCCCGTTTCCCCTGAGCCACCAGGTACCATCAGGGCTCTCCGGGCTCCGTCCCTGCCGTGCGGAGAGGGAGAGGAGCCGGGAATGACCTCGTGTGGCCCCATCAGCCGACCAGCCGCGGACGGCTGCTCGGCTCAACCTGCGCCGAGGACACGGGCACGTCGGTATCTGCCGAACGGGAAAGGGGACAAGCGCTGGGGGAAAGAAGCGTTTCGGTCTCAGCGTAACGAGAGGGTATCACAGCTAATGGAGAGGAAAGGAGATGAAACCCGAAATCTGCATGACGGCGTCCCCTGCGCTCAGCGCTGTGTGCTCAGGCTGAAAACCCGCGGCGTGACAGCCGCGAGGAGCTGCGCGGGGCGCAGGGCTCGCTCTGCTGCCGCCCTTCTCCCCCGCAGCCCTGTGTCAAGCGTCCCGCCGTGACACCGCCAATTGGCTGCGCTGCGGCTGGGGGCACATTTGGGAACAACAGGTTTTAAGCTTTGGG